CCAATATGATGTGGCTGTGTTTATGGATTTTAGTTGCTGTGTTTAAAGTAATTGGATTTTGTTTATCTCATAAAATTTTGTCCCTGATACTGCTTGAATATTCTGCCAGACCTTTCAGGTGCCCCATTCTTGGAGACCTGTAGCATGCGCGTATTTGCTGCCATAGGCTGTCATTTGCTTTGCATACAGTGATGAAATCCCGCTACACTCAGGTTTAGGGAAGAATAGGAGCCAAGAGTACCTTTTGAGAAATCTAGGCAGTGTTCTTGCAGTTGCTGACAGATTATTCATTTATTTTTTCTTCTCACCTGTCTCTAAAAAGAGACCCAAGAAGGATTAGGGGGAAAAATATTTAATGAATGGTGTAGAATACAGAACAACACCACAAGTTTAGTATGATGCTAGCCTCTATTAACTGGAATACGAAGTGAACTCTACCAGACAAATAATGAACAGACATTTTAGGACTAGAAACAATCTACAATTAAATGTCATAGGATCCCAAAATGATCTCCAAGGCCTCCAGTTTGGGTCCTTGTGGTGCATTTAGGAACCCCAAAATGCTAGGAATTCTTAATTAAATATATTCAGCTGGATTTTAGATAGCCTTAGAATTTTGTGAATGAGGCTGGGATTGAGATGCATTTTTTTCCAATACAGAGTGAAAGACACAGTGCAGAACTTGTAAGACTGCAAAGGTTTGCCAGGAGCTATCAGGAAATATATGAAAACAGGGGACTTCCGGGGAAATAGTGACCTGAATAGGAATAAATTTTAAAGCTCCGGTCTTCTCTCATTGTGGCAGAGATAATTTATTCCTCTATCCCTATATCTTTCAAAACTGATAAGTGAACCCAAGGAGGGGGGTCTGTTATATTCCTGGATTCCGTTAACATCATGGTCAGCATAGACTAAGGAGGCTTTTGCTGGCAAGGTTGACTTCTCCCATTTTTATTTTTATCTTTATTATATCTTTTCTTTCATCCTTCTTTAAAAAATCTGTAACTGTATGGCTTGCTTTTAAGGATTTGTTTGGAATTACAATTTATCTAATTTGGAAATATAACCTACTCCAGGAAGTGGCAGATCCCAGCCTCTTGTCTTCACCAGTAAGAAAATTACTGAAGATTTATGGTCCATTGAGGGAACTGATAATTATAGAAGATTTATAGTGCAGAGACAAGCTGTTGAACTTGTTTAATTAACCATTTCTCTTAAGAAAGCTTCAATAAACCCCTCCAAGCAAAAATACTAGAAGCAGATAAACTAATTTGTATTCTTACCTTTTGGAATATTTATCAGTGCACATATTCAGGGATTATATTTTTTGTGAACTATCAGCTGATTGTTTTCCCTTTCCTCTCTTTTCTGGATTAAAAAAAAGTTTATTTAAAAGAGTTGGAGCCTGGCTCCATTGTGATGCAGCAAAAAAAGTATGGTTTGGCAGATTTGGCAAATGGATGGCTTAACAGGAGGACATAAATATCTTCTATTTTAACACTATATACTACATAAAGGCATTGAAAAGACAGACTCTTGGACTATTTTTTATTTTATTTTTTGAGACGATGGGAAGGAAACAGCATATTAGAAAGCAAAGTAAAGTTGCTGTGTAACCCCCCCTTCTTCACCCCCCCCCATCTTCTGGACTCTCTCTGGGTGAAGTATAATAATTCAATATAGACTTTTAAGAGCCACAAGTTAAATAATGTTTCCCCTTTTCCCCATTTTATGGATTTTTTTCTTATTTTTTCCTTTCTTTCCCCTTTTTTGGTAATATAATTGTATTAAATATAGGTTATTCTTTTTTAAGTACATTCTTTGGTCTTTTTATCTTCATTTTTGTTTTTTAATTTTTTTATTCTCCCCTCCCTCCCAATTTCTTTCCCTTTATTATTTTTATCCTCCCCTTAGTAAATTTCAATTTCATTATGAAATGGATTAGAAAATAAGTTATGTGATCTGTTTTTTATCTCTTGTGTTCTTAAATAGATAATTATAATTTCTATAGCAGATAGTTATACAACATGGTTACTTATATAATTTTAAAGTGATAAATTCTTATATAGAAAAGCTTATGGAAATAGTATATGGGAAATTTGTATAACATTTTTTAGAAACCAAAGAACATGTCTGAAAGACAAAAGGTAAAGAGATGAAACTGAAGAGAAATGAAGAACCAATGGAAAAGTTATTACAAATATTGATAAATCAAATGCAATAATTTGAGGAAAGAATGCAAAATAATATTCAAAGTATTC